AGAAGAAGAAGAAGAAGAAGAAGAAGAAGAAGAAGAAGAAGAAGAAGAAGAAGAAGAAGAAGAAGAAGAAGAAGAAGACTCTAAAGCATAGCTGAGATTCCTGATTTAGAAAAAGTTGCAAGAAACTCCCATTTTATTTATGTTGTGCATTTAAGTATTTATTTATTTTAGGATTTTTTTAAAAAATCCTGCCTTTATTTTTATAAACAAAGCAGGGCTGGGAATATACCTAATACTCCACCCCACAACAATAACCCTATGAGGTGCATTGAGCTGAGAGCGAGTGGGATTGGCCCAAAGTCACCCAGCTGGCTTTCTTGCCTAAGGCAGGATTAGAACTCGCCATCTCCTGGTGATTAGTCCAAAGTCACCCAGTTGGCTTTCATACCTAGGGCAAGACTAGAACTCACAGCCTCCTGGTTTCTAGACTGGTGCCTTCACCACTAAAACAGTATAGAATAAATGTCTATTAAATAATTGCAAACCTGTAGCAAGTGGTAGAATTCAAATCATAGAGCGTTAAGTGAGGATTCTCCAACCAGCATGCTGGAAGATGAAGTCCAAACATTTTAAAAACTTGCCAAGGTTGAAAAACGCTGCCGTGACTATTAATAGCTTTCTCTCTCACTCGCCCACATTTTTCCCATGTTCTTATTTTTGATCTGAGATCCTTCTTGGGCCTCGCCAGATCACCGCCCTGTGGATCTCACGGAGATCAACTGCGGATCAAATCCAGAATTGTTCCCTCTTCCACGTGCTGGAGGAGAGCATGTGTCTTCCAACAGCTGCACCACCTTACAAATGGCTGCCTTGTAATTCTAGCTAGGTTTCTTCTGCCCCGGGGACAACTTCCTTTATGGGAGCGGGCCAGGGACTGTGGCATGGGAGCAGCTGCAAACAATTTGCCTCGCTCTTGCTGTGTTTGCACAAAAAATCTCAGCCGAGGACCCTCCCGCTGGAAGGGACTTCAAATCCCTCAATGGTTCCCAGCTCGCCACAGCGGACCCAGCCCTCCTATGCAGGCCAGTTGCCAAGACGGCTGGAAAAGCTTTGGGGAGATTTATTCTAGGTTTATGTCATGTTCTCTTTTTTTGTTGTTCCCTGTCTTTTTTTATTTTTTTTATTTCTGTATTTGTACAAATATAGCAGCAAAAATATCCCCCTGGACTAGAAGGCCGCTAACCACAAAATGAAAGTCCTGAGCGATGCAGCGTTTCACAGGGGCTCTTTTGTGGCAGGACGAATTTAGACATGGGATGGAACAGGAGGAAATCTCCATACCAGGAATCTGTGTGAATTGGACCCGTGCAAAATCCACGTTGGAAATGGATTCTTTCAGCGTCGAATTGACAAAACCTTTGCAAGCTTTGGTTAGGCTAAGGCTGGGGAACTTGAGGTTTCCGATAGAAGAGAATATTTATAACTCAGGGTTGAAGTGTGAGGTGCTCTTGGTGATTTTAATTGCAGGTATTTCATTATCTAACTAGAGAACTTCATCAGAAGTAGAGTGAGATTTGTGGGGAGGAGGAGGAGGAGGAGGAGGAGGAGGAAGACGACTGCGGGGTCCTTGCTGCTCTCTGAACTTGGCGATTTTCTTGCGGGCGTTTCATGACCCAACTAGGTAACATCATCAGTGCTAGAAGGGAGCGGGGTTTACAAAGTGGAGGAGGAGAAGGATGGTGGGGTTCTTGGTGCTCTTGGTTATTTTCTTCCAGATGTTTCATTATACCAAACTAGGTGATACTGTCAGTGCTAGAAGGGAGAGTAAATTCCACCCCCTTCTATCACTGATGATGTTACTTAGTTGGGTAATGAAATGTCTGCAAGAAAACAACCAAGTTCAGAGAGCACCGAGGACCCCGTTCTCCTCCTCCTCGGAAACCCTACTCCCTTCTAACACTGATGAAGTTATCTAGTTTGGTAATAAAATGTCTGGAAGAAAAACAACCAAGCTCAGAGAGGACCAAGGATCCCACAGAAGTCGGAGTTATGTGGCAATCGGGCCCTTGTGGCTCTTTTTCCTTGCCCCTGAAGCTGTCTTAAACCGTGACTGCCAAACATTGGCTGTGAGTTTTAGGTTTTTCTTCTTCTTCTCCAATGGCAGACCGAAACAGACCGGATCTCATCCCGGAAGACCAACTGAAAAAATATTTGCAGGACATCCAATCCTTTCAAGAGGTGGAGATCTCCCAGCAGTTGGAAGATTTCAGGTTTGCAATCGACAATTCTCAAGACCCCAAAATGCCTTCGTTGCACCTTCCGACAATCAAAATCGCAAGCCGGAGGTCCCAAATACCGGCCACGTGGCATTGTGGTTAATGCCCACATGGGATTCATTTAATGATGGTAACCGGAATTGCCGGAACTGCTGTCACTAAGTGGCACATCTTAATGGCTACATCACTTAATAATGGGACATTCCAACCTCAGTCACCGTTGTTATATAATTGGGTCAAACAGTTTAAGAACCACCCTTTGCAGAAGGATTTGGATAATTTGGATCTTGGCTTGCCAGGGAATTGCTCAATTGGTGTCCAAATGAAGTCCGAGATGCTGACACAAACCTATAGTTTTATACAAATAAATATATTTAACATCTGGATTTACAGCAAACAAGATAGGCAGGCAAACGGGAGCATTGTGAGGTAAATCACAAAGCGCGCTGATTAAAAAAAGGCGGGAAAAAAGGGAAACTCCCCTTTTACACCCACAATAACCAATCGCAGCGCAGATTGCCTCATGCAGGAGCCCGCCCTTTCCAATCAATCAACCCCAACGGTGTGACTTGGCTCACTGTTCAATCCCATTACTCCAGCTACTAAATTTAAATATCTTAACAAGGCTTTTGATTCCAAAAACTAGATATAAGTGGACTGAGTTCATTGCAAGGATGGGTTGTGTTGTTGATTCAAAGAGGAAAGGAGACTTTTGAGAGGCCTACTACAACCCCTTGTTAGTGCTCCTTTAAAGAGACTTCAGCTTCTCTTAGGGTTGCCCAGTAGAACAAAGTCCTAGGAAATGTAATAGTATAGTAATAGTATAGTAATAATGTACTAACAGTATAGCTATAGTCTATTAATAATATAGTGAAGTATATTTATAGTAATAGTAATAGTATAGTAATAGTAGTATAGGAAATAAGTAGTACCAGCAAAGTACAGAGAAGTTGTCACAGCTGAGCATCCTGGTACACAGATAATCTTCAATTTATGGCAAATTCTGAGATCAGAATTTCCATCACTAAGCAAAGCGGTGGTGAAGTGAGTTAGGCCTCGATTTTACAACCTTTTTTTTAACCAGTGTTAATAAGTGAATCACTATAGTTGTTAAGTGACTCGTGCGAGTCGTTATGGGAATCCAGCTTCCCCCGTTGACTTGGCTTGTCGGAAAGAAGACTTCTAGGAAAATCGCAAATGACGATCACGGGACTCTGGGAAACTGCTGGTTGCCAAGAGCCCAAATTCTTCTTCAGCTCTGACAGGATAGCGGGGAATTGGAAGGATTTATACTCCTTGCAGACAGCTGGACATTTGCCTTCTTTTAGCGAGTGGTTAAAGTCATCTAAGGGATGTGGTGGCTTAGTGGATAAGACGCTGAGCTTGTCGATCAGAAAGGTCGGCGGTTTGGTGTTCGAATCCCTAGCGCCGCGTAACGGAGTGACCTCCCGTTACTCGTCCCAGCTTCTGCCAACCTAGCAGTTTGAAAGCAAGCAGAAAAATAGGGACCACTTTGGTGGGAAGGTAACAGCATTCCTTTCGGCGTTTAGTCATGCTGGCCACATGACTTCGGACAGCGCTGGCTCTTTGGCTTTGTAACGGAGATGAGCACCATCCCCTAGAGCAGGAAACAACCGGCACAGATGTGCGTGGGAAACCTTTATAAGGTCACCTGGAGATTTATCAGGGTCATCAGGGTCACCTGAGTGGTGCAAATGGGTGTGGAGCCTTCTTGGAACTGTTGAAAGGGCTGTGTTGTAGATTGGAGATGGATGATAGATACCCCTCCCTCTCTGTTGAGAGAGGACTGTTCAATTTGGACACCTTTGGCCTCTTTGACCCCTCTTTCAAACCAACGGCCCTCTCTGTCCAAAATGTGGGCTTTGCTGTCTTCAGAAGAGCAGCCTTGGTCTTTCAAAGGCCGCTGAATCTTGTCCTGAGGTGTTTGTTCTCCTATGTTGCGCCATATATGGAAAAGCACCCTTGGGATCCTCTTCCATTTGCACATCAGCCAAAACCATACAGCCTGGCTCAGTACATTGTACAAAATGGTAAAGGTATAACCATGATGGCTCAGAGGTTAAAGGCACTGAGCTTGTCAAGCTGACAGCTCAGGTTCAAGACCCAAGCACCCTATGAAGGGGTGAGCTCCAGAGGTGGGATTCAAACTTTTTAACAACTGGTTCTGTGGTTGCGACTTGGTGAGTGTGGTCATGTGACTGGGTGGGTGTGGCTTTTTTTGCAGCAACTCCCCCCCCCCATTTTTGGGACCTTCTGGGCCTTAGGGAAACCTCCTGGGGGGGGGGCATTTCTGCTCCCAGAAAGCTTCCCTAAAGACAGCGAGGGGAATCCCAGCACAGCTGATCATAGGAACAGCTGATCGTCGGGAGGGTGAAAAAAAGGAATATGTTAAGGAGTGACTGGCCAGGGAAGAACACAGTCAGCAATGTTGGGCATGCGCGATGAAGACTGACTGGGCAGGCGGAGAGGGGCGGGGCCAGACAGGGGCCTGATTTGCCGATTTGCCGAACTGCGTAGAATCATAACAACCTGTTCTATAGAACCGATCTAAACCGGTAGAATACCATCCCCCCGGTGAGCTTCCGTTACTCACCCCAGCTCCTACCCACCTAGCAGTTGGAAAGCATACCAATGTGAGTAGGTCAATAGGTACCACTTCAGTGGGAAGATAAGAGTGCTCCGTGTAGCCTCACCCTGTGGCCATGCTGGCCACATGATCCCAGAAGTGTCTTCGGACAATGCTGGCTCCTTCGACTAAGAAATGGTGATGAGCACCACTCTCAGTGTTGGCACGGCTTTAATTTTGCGTTCGTTATACAAACTCAGCATGTTGTGTGAACAACCATTGATGGCTTCAGGCAGGAACGGGCAACTACGCCGGGAAAAGCATTTGCACAGCTTGATAGGGTTGGTAATTTATTTTTACCCTTAATTAGGTTTCTCTGTAGCTTAGCGTGTTGTGCTCAGGGCTTCGCTGATGACTCCAGGCCTTTTGTGCCAGTTCTGGAATTGGATTTAATTCAGTCAAATTAATCTATTAATTCCATCCAACGTACAGAGCTCGATCGCCTGTTCTTTGTCTCCGCAGGGAAAAACGGAAAATGGGAATGACCCCAGGAGAGAAGGAGCTTTTTGAACTGGAAGGCTATCGGACCAAGGACAAAGGCATCAGGGAGGCCAAAGAGAAACAGCTGGCCGAACAGCTGATGGCCAAACTGGAGGAGATGCAGTGAGTGGAAGCTCTCCTGGCTTAACTGCTATGCATGGAGTGTTAGTTTGCCCTTTCAGCTTCCTCCTTCACCGTAGCAAAGATGGCATTCCTTCTTCGATGGTGTGCTGGCTACGGTCAAGACCCTGTACCACTCCTCTTGCACCCCTGAGCCCTTTCTGCAACCCTGAATGTCTTCCAGGCGCCATCCTGACTCCTAGATTGCCACTATGCTTGGGAAGATGGCCTTTCACATCCGTCAGAACTGTTCTGACCCAAGCCTTGTTCAAACTAAACCAACACAAACTGTGTGTAAAAGCAAACCTTTTTTAACGTGGCGCTGGGAATTCTGTGCGTTTCCAGCCAAGAGTCATTTAAACCTAATTGTCTGAGGTAAAAGCAAGCCCTTTCAGGGTTGTAAAAGGCTGCCAAGAACAGAAGCCTAATTACTGATAAATATCCACCGACGGAAGTTCCAAAAACAAACCAGAGTTAGCAGGGCTTCAACGAGGACTCAGAGTTTAAAGAACTTCTTTGCTTCCTGCAAAGAGCACATCCCCGAGGGCTGGTTTTTATCCCTTATGGGTGGGGCCATCACCTTCCAGGCTTACTCCCGAGTTTCCCTTGCTGTTTCGGCTGCTCTCCTTTGAGCAGCCCTGCGCGCACATGCGCTGGACAGAGGTTCCCCAGGATCCTCTGCTTCACTGCTGCCAGACTCCAAAAGCACCGAAGGCAGCACCCCACTCTCTGATAGTCCTGGCCCCCTCCCTGCAACAGATGCAGGCCCCTCGTTCGAGTCCTCGCCAAACTCCCCGACTGGTTCCCTTTCGTCCTTGCCGTCAGAGACCTCTGCCGTCTGCACCGGCTGCCGGCGAACCACAACAAGAGCAGGCTGGGAAAGAGTCCTAAATGGGACCGCACCTCCATGCCTTGCTGCAGGTGTCACCCTCCCATTTGGGGACCCACACGGAGGATTATGTCTCTTCCGTTGGGGGGGCTGGCTGCAGCCGGGGCGGGGCAGAAAACACCCATCATCCTCAAACACCCAAGGAGAATAGCAACCTCGCACTCGGGAAAAATGTCCTGACAATTAATCGGTGCCTCCAGAAGTCGTGGGGGTTCTTAAGAAGGAACTGGGCAGCTGTTTGTCTGAAATTGTATCGGGTTTCCTGCCTGAGCGGGGGCGGGGGGGGTTGGACTAGAAGACCTCCAAGGTCCCTTCCAACTCTTGTTAGTTTGCAACCCTTTGGCTTTGAGTTGCTGTCCCTGCCAGTCTGCCTTTACAGTCTGCGTCTATTCCAGCTGCAGATCCCATCCAAGCTTTCTATTTCAAGCAAGCCCCCTCCCTCCCTCCTTGGGATCTCCTTGTTTCCTCCCCCCCTTCCCCCCCCCCCCCCCCCCCCCCCCCCCCCCGCTCCATGGATAGAGCCTCTGTTTCTGGCCACCATCCCATCAGGGCTGGGACAAGAGCGAGGAGCCAGCCAGATCATCCGTAGCCAATCCCTGCCAGATAATAGGATCCAGTTGGCAGGAGGGGAGGAGAAGGGGGGGGGATATTCCCCACCCATCCCGGGATGTTGCCTCTGATTGCATCATCCTTGCCGAGTGTATAAACACCCCTGGAAGCCCCTTCCCCCTCCAGTTGCTGCATGCCAGTCCATCCAGCCGTCGCAGAAATCTGCGCTTAGACAGAACATGTTTATTTGCCTTTTGAATACTTTCCTGCTTCTACTGAGCAAAAATGGGGCTGTATTACCGGTAAGTTTTTCCCAGAAACGGAAAAACGGGGAGGGTAGCACGCGGCATAAGACAGGGGTGGCTTTGAGAGTCTGCAGTCCCCAAAGGGAGCATCGCTGTTGTGCGGAGGGTCAGGCATACCGTTATCTTTCAGAGGCTTTGGACCACAACTCCCATCAACCCCAACCAGCAACAAGGGATCGTGGGGATGGGTCCCAAACAACTGCCAGTTGCTTTTGGAGAAAAAAAAAAGCAGATTGAATAGTTAAAAGGCCGAGAGTGGCAGGGGAGAGAGGGTTGAAATCCCCTCCTCCTCCTCCTCCTCACAGAGCTGCAGGCCAGCTGTTAACCTCTGGACGAACAGCTGGATCAGAAGGCTGCAAAGGTAGCCGGAACACGTGTCCTTCGCTCCCTGATATATGTATATTTCTTTTTTTTTTCTCTTTTCTCTCTGCATTGGTTCCAGCCTCACCATTTCTGCCGACGAGGAAAAAAGGTAGGCCTCCAACAGGTGCAGAGCGGTTCGTTCGTGTGTGTGCTTTGTGTTGGTGTGTGTGTTGTGTGCGTTTCTGCAAAGGGGGGCGGGGGGCGGAAATACGCTCTTGCACTCTCCTGCATGCAACCGGATGTGGTTTTGCAGCACATTGAGTTCTGTGGCTCAGGAAGCTGGAGGAGGAGGAGGAGATGAAAAGAGTCATTTAACCCTTCCAAGTGTTGGTCTGAGAAAGTCCCGGCTGTTTAAAAGCATCAAAATCCACTTTCACCAGCGTCCCCACCATTTGCTCACAGTACGAGTGGTCCTCAACTTACGACCACAGTTGAAACACACCCCCCCCCCAGAATTTCTGTTGCTAAGCCAGACAGTTGTGAAGTGATTTTTTTTGCCCTGTTTAACGACCTTTCTTGCCACGGTTGTTCAATTTAAGAACACTTTTTGCTAAGTGCGTCTGGCTTCCCCAATGACTTCGCTTGCCAGAAGGTCTCAAAAGCGGAATCCCATGACCCCAGGGACAGGGCAACCCATCATAAGTACGAGTCAGTTGCCAAGCGCCTGAATTTTGAACATGGGAATCCTGCAACCATCGTAAGTGGGAAGAACGTGCTAAGTCACTTTTCTCAGTGCTGTTGTGACTTTGGACAGTCACTAAATGAACTGTCGTAAGTCGAGGACTACCTCTAGTCAGGGAGTGTCTGTCTCTGGATGCATGACCTCACTCGTTGGCCCCCGTTGGTGACCCCGGATCACACTTTCCAAAATCCACAGGGGACCCGGGGGCGAGAACTGTGGAACGTAACAGATTTGTGAATTGGAAAGTATCTTACGTTATTTCTTTTCTTTTCTTTTTTTGTGGGCCAAATCTTGCTTATATTTTCCACACGCATATGCATATTTAGCAAAAAAAAAAAAAAAGTGAAATTTGGCAGGTTTCTTAGTAACTCTGAGGGATGGAAAAAGGAAGTAATGCGAGGGAGGTTCACAACGAGGTTTGTTTACTCCTGTTGTATATGTGTCGAGTCCCTGTTCAGTTAAGTTTTAGTTTAGTTTTATTGTCCTTGTACCTCGTACCATGAAATTAAATGCCATCTTCAGTGTACATTATGATTATGGAAATAAACACGAACACCCATCCTTCACATTCTATACTCTGAATTGAAAACCCTTGATATTGCATTAATATTGCACTATACAGTAGAATTCAGTCTAATTACTGCTCTGGGATAGAAGCTATTTTTCAGCCTATTTGTCCTTGTTTTTAATTGAATTGAATTGAATTCTTTATTGTCATTGTACATATATACACAGTATAGATACAACGAAATTCACATAATACCCAGAGACCAGACTCAACATGCACACACACATGACAATCCCCAAACACCTCCCCACCCGCCAAAATTCCCCGACCCCTAAAAACACACAAGCATCCACACGACAGACCAAGTAATACTGTCCAACAGCTCACTGATGGTGGTCCTTAAGTTCATTGTTAAGTACAATTATAGCTCTGGGATAAAAACCATTCAGAAAATGTGTGGTCTGAGTTTTATTATTTTATTATTCTCCTGTACCGTCTGCCAGATGGTAATAGTTCAAAAAAAAAAAAAGGGTTCCCAGGATGAAATGGATCTTTGAGAATGTTTTGAACTTTCTTAAGGCAGCGGGAGCTATAAAGCTCTTCCAAAGAGGGGAGAGGGCAGCCAATGATCAAAGTGGCTTTGTTTTTGAATTTGGTTGAGTCTTTTTAACCAGATGCAGGCTTGAATCTTCAGATAGCCTTTTAGTTTGTTTTACATTAACCACCATCTTTTTTTTCCTCTTTCTCTGCCCTGTCCTTTTAGCTCTGCCATATATACTGCCATTGTCACATATATGAAGCATCTGGGGGTTAAGACCAAGACAGCTGATAACAAGAAGTCGAAGGCTAACTTTTTCCGCAAAAAGGTAGGCTTAAGAGGTCTTTAAAGGCGACAGCCAGCACCATGAATTGCACCCAGACCTAGTGCAGCTCCTTCAGGACAGAATAGATAGAATAGAATAGAATTATTTATTGGCCAAGTGTGATTTGACACACAAGGAATTTGTCTTTGGTGCCTATGTTCTCAGTATACGTAAAAAGAAAAGATACATTTGTCAAGAATCATCAGATACAATACTTAATGATAGTCATAGGGTACAATCGGCAATCAAATCATAGTAGGAAGCAGTCAATATAGATCGTAAGGATACAAGCGACAAAGTTACAGTCATACAGTCACAAGTGAGAGGGGATGGGTGATAAGGAGGGATGAGAAGATTAATAGTAATAGTAGTGCAGACATTGTAAATAGTTGGACAGTGTTGAGGGAATTATTTGTTTAGCAGAGTGATGACGTTCAGAAAAAAACCGTCCTTGTGTCTAGTTGTTCTGGTGCGCAGTGCTCTATAGCGCCATTTTGAGGGAGTTGAAACGATTTATGTCCAGGATGTGAAGGGTCTGTAGATATGTTCACAGCCCTCTTTTTGATTTGTGCAGTAGGTCAGGTCCTGGACTGAAGGCAGGTCAGATGTAATTGTTTTTTCTGGAGTCCTATTTATCCTCTGAAGTCTCTGTCTGTCCTGTTGGGTTGCAGAACCAAACCAGACAGTGATAGAGGTGCAGATGACAGACTCAATCATTCCTCTGTAGAACTGGATCAGCAGCTCCTTGGGCAGTTTGAGCTTTCTGAGTTGGCGCAGAAGGAACATTCTTTGTCGTGCTTTTTTGATGACAGGGGACACCTCTGCACACCTGGGATTTGGGGAACGGGTGATCAGTTTCTCTTCTCTGATTTAATCCAGATTTCCAAGAAACCAGAGGAAGCTCTCAAACCAAAGAAAGGCTTCAGCATTTTGGACCCAGCCCGCTGGAACCGTGGGGATTCCCATTGTAAGTACGCAAAACAAATTCCTTTGCCCTGGTTCAGAGACCCCCACCCAAGCCCTGTATTTAACTTGCTGTCCTAAACCCCCCATTGTCAGGTTTCTTAGGACTGAGATCTGCAATTGTCCAGCCCCATGTGAATTGAGCCATTTCTTTGAAGCTCCTGAAATCTCCCCGAGATTTAACTGTTAAACTACAGGTAGTCCTTGACGTACAGTTATTCATTTAGTGACCGTTCAAAGTTACAACAACACTGAAAAAAGTGACTTTAGGACTTGCTTTCACACCTACAACCATTGCAGCATCCCTATGGTTGCAAAAGAGTCATAAAAATAAGGCGAAACTCCCTTAACGACGGACTTGCTTAGCAATGAAATTTGGGGTCAATTGCGGCTGTAAGTCAAGGACTACCCGAGCTGCTGTTTTTGGTTTTAATTTTAATTTGGAAACAAACAACAGTAAAACTGAACCTCGAGTAAGCTGAACAGGACTTGCACTGGGAAGGATCTTCTCTCTCAAGCAGGTAGAGAGTCCCACAATTCCAGAAATATTTCCATGACATAATTTTGCAAAAATAATAATAATAATAATATTTTCCTTTATGTAGTCCTCCCACTCATTCCTGGGAAAAATGTCACCAGCCAGTCTATAGCTTAAACCAATGATTAAGGTATTCCTTTTCGAAGCAGAAAGAAGAAGAAAGCTAAATGACTTGTCCTTTCAGGAAAAAAATAAAAGTTAGCTTGGTGTACATCTGGATTTACTTCAGTTTCACTGGGTGCCCGCCCTGGCTTGAGACTCATCCTAGGGTCAACCTCAGAGGAGTTTTCAAAAGCATCCTTTGAAAACTGGCTATTTTCTTCTTTTTTTGAAAGCTTGTGGTTACTGTTGCTAGGCCAATAAGGAATACAAATTCCACCAGCCCACAAAACAGTGGTCCCTTTTGTGTGCATCGGATCATCTGGTTGGTGAGCGTGGCATGTGATTTGCCCAGAAGCAATTTTTGGGCAATAGTTAGGAAGGGATTAATGTGATGTCTCTTTCCCCATTGTATTTTTTTTGCTGCATTTTTTGTAGATTCTGATTACAGACAGCCCAAACCTGAGGGTGAAGGTACTAGCACCCCACTTTCTCCCCCTCCTACCAGCTCTGTAGTAACGCATGGCACCGTGTGTACCCATCCGTCTCTCTGATCAGGAAGCCACGTAGAACTAATCTGCCTCTTGTAACCTCCGCCACTAACGTTTTAATTCCCTGTTGCACTCTCGCCCATCAAGTAATGTACTAATGAGAATCATACACACGTCTGTGAAAGTTCATCACACCTGTTCATGTTCCCAAAGAAAACTCTTGGCATGCGATGGCTCATTGTGTGCTCCTCTGTCTGTCTGTCCCAATGGGGTCCTGCGTGAAACCAGCAAAGTGGGGAATAAACCACGTATTCTATCGTTTTTCTCTGTGGCTTATGCACAAATTAAGCACTTGCTCGGTTTTACTTCCCAGGGTGCATTCACCTTATCCCTAGATAGTTAACATTCCCAGTTTAGAACTCCAGCACTTGGCAGGAAATCTCAGGGTTACAATTTTGCACTGCTCGATTCTGGCTTAGCTGAACTGCTCTTAGTTCCTTCAGCGTCTGTGTAAAACTGAACGCGACTGTTTTCCAAGCAGTCACTTTTAACAAGATTTATGTCCCAAAGGTGCTTTTTCCAAAGGCAACCTGAATAGTACAAAAATGGAAACGGCTGAAAGGACTGTATTGTAAACAGGACACTGTACAGGTGACCCTGAGGGCACAGATAAACCTCTAAGTGGCCTCAATGACTCTCAGGAAGAGTGCTAACAACCAGAGGACTGCAAGGAATATAAATCCTTCCATTCCCGCACCATTCAGCCAGAACTGAAGAAGCTTCTTGGATGAGAGGTGAAACATCTTCAAGGAAGAACAAAGTCCATTTGCCTTTTGAAAAAGCACCTATGGGACAGTCATGACCTGGATGATTGAGAATCTCCATAGACATTTAGCAAGATTGATGGTGGGTGAAAGTGAGGAGATTTACACGAAATCCAGCAAATGGAATATAGAAACAATACATCCCTGTGTGCAATAGGCTGAATCGTCCTGAAATTCTATCAGCTCTCCTAGGATCTGGTGAAGTGGTCTCTTTACTTGGGGTAGCTTGTAGCTGGCTGTTTTCATAAACATCTCCAGAACTTTTATTAATCCAGGAACTGACTATTCCGTGCCATGGAATGGTAATTGCAAACAAGAGTCAAGCCACGGCAAACATAAAGGATGGCTAATATCATTAAGCCATCATTAGTCCCAGGATAATGTTGCAGGGTCCAATGTGGGTTGTTCACAAGGACCGGAGGTTTAGTCTTTTGAGTTTTTGGACTCACACTGGAGCTCATCTCCCGAGAACTTCTCTCACCGCATTCTGTTTGAAATGAGTTTGAAAGCTTGGAAGACAAAAGTTTCGTTGCCGGTGATTGACCCAGGTTGGATCCTGCCACAGCAAACAGTTGATTTCCTCCCGTTATTGGGATAAAGGTATTGAAGATGTGTGATTCTTTATTGCTGATATCATGACATCTCTGCCTTGATTGCTGCTGCTGGCTCTTGAAAATATCTCTCATGGTAGCTACTAAATTTAACCAAATAATTCCCCTCTAATCCTTCTATGAAAACCCAACCAAACGGATTTGGATACCCAGAGCATGCTAAAACCTGCGGTTTAGTATGATATGTCCGAGATGTTCTTCCATCCCTCGTACTTTGCCCTTGCTATATCTAAAGGAAGTCTCTTGATCAGTATTCCGTCCAGTGCTCTTATTACCGTTTACAGACCCACCGAGCACATCAACATAAACAAAAAAAAACCAGACTAAAGTTCAGCCAAATAAGATAAGAGCATGAACAAAGTGGAAGGAATAGAAAACACTGTAAAACGAGAGGAATAATTACAGTACTCCGCAGCCCCTAACTTCCCACATTAATTTCCCAAAAGGGTTCTAGGGTTACAGATGCAGACTAAATGACAAGCTGATTTATTTTAGGGGCCTTGTCTGCCAGCCAGAAAAAAGCTGAGTAAACTCTTATTCAGCTGCCATCAACGCTTGAGTAGAGTTTACATCTCTTCTGAGCTTGCACCTAGTACCTTGGCCCCTGTCCTGGCTTAGAAAAAGATACTCTAGATAACTAGAGTTGGAAGGGACCTTGTAGGTCATCTAGTCCAACCCCCCTGCCCAAGCAGAAGACCCTACATCATTTCTGACAGATGGCAGTCCAATCTCTTCTTGAAAGTCTCAAGTGATGGCGCTCCCACAACTTCTGAGGGCAACTTCTGTTCCATGGGTTGATTGTTCTCACTGTCTGAAAGTTCCTCCTTATTTCCAGGTTGAATCTCTCCTTGTTCAGTTTCCATTCCTGGTCTGGCCTTCAGGTGCTTTAGAAAATAGCTTGACCCCCTTCCTCCTCCCTGGGGCAGCCCATTAAATATATAGTTTTACCAAGGCTTTATAAAGTGGTACTAACAAGGTGTTAGTTACCTGGGCAGCATCTCCCCTTCGCTGAAAGTTATGCATGCATTCCATCACACCACGCGGGGAGGGAGGAGGCTTCCTCGCCTCTTGTTTTTGAAACCGCTCTCGATCTGGAGTGTCCTAATCTGTGCATAAGCCCATCGTGAAGGGTGAGGTGGGAAGAGGAATTTGGCGGAGGTGAACGGCTCCTTGGTAGTGTTTGATTCCTCTGGCCTTTTCTCCTTGAAGCAGCTGAGAAGACACCAGCCTTGGACAAAAAAGCCAAGTTAACAGAAGGAACGTCTGGGCGTAGCAAAGGGACCCCTTCGATGCAAGATCCCTCTGGTGTGTCCGTCACTGTGCATCCCCCACCTGGAGAGAGCAATGATGCAGAGCAGGGTGAGATAGGGGATGAACTGGAGGAAGGAAGTGGGGTGGAACATGGTCTGGATTCCCAGAAGGGAGGGGCTGCTTTCCTGAGGACCAAGAGAAAGCAAAATTTAGATCAAGGGTGCCCAACCATGGCAACTTTAAAACCTCTGAACTTCAACTCCCAGAATTCCCCAGCCAGCCATGGGATAGAGTTTCCTGCTTGAACCAGGGATTGGACTAGAAAGCTTCTAAGATCCCTACCATGCTGGCTGGGGAATTCTGGGAATTGGAGTGCAGAACCTCAAGGTTGGACACCCCTGGTTGTAGATGAGATTGGTTGGGAAGAAGAGGGTCAAGACGGGTCCTCCCTAGGAAGTTCTTAAGAGAGTCTCTTCAATGTTGCAAGTAATTTGCTTTAGTTGGGTAAAATTTCCGTCTAGAGACGAAAGGAAACTGATCAGAAGAGCCTCGGTGTGTCTTGCTTGGTTTTTGGAGCCAGATATTAATCTTGCCAAACTCATAAGACCGCCATCTCCATCGTTAAAGATACGTTCTGAGCACTTCTAGGCAGGAGCTTTCTTGACTCTCTTCCTCTCAACTGAACTGTCTAAACTTCACTGTCTCTCGGTCCTCTGGAATGTAGCTCCTCCCTCCTGGGAATCCAGACTGCATTCCACTACAGGAAGACACCTTTCGGATAATGAAAGGAGCAGTTTGGCAGCATTTCTTCTTCCCTCTTCCTTCACCTCCTTCTTCTATTTTCCTTAGGGTTGGACAGTCCAGCTCTAGCTGATTCGGGAGATTCACCAGTTGCTGAACAAGCCGTGGCTGGAGAGCAGCTCTCGCTGGATGAAAGCGCCGAAAATGAAAGGTGAGAGCAGGCTGATGGCCTTGCAAAGGGTGAGTTGGGATCCTTACGAACCACCATGCAGGTGGACAGGGCTTGTTTGGCAAATCTGGCCGCTTTTCTTTAGATAGGAGCATGTCCCACAAACTTTTGAGAGTCCTATCTGGACAAACCTAGATTGTAAGGCTGGCCAGGGGTCTAAAGACTATGTCAGTGTGCCCTTGGAGAGTAACAGACATTCGGTCTAGTGATAAAGGCACCAGGCTAGAAACCAGGATACTGTGAATTCTAGTCCTGTTTTAGCCATGAAAGCCAGCTTTGGGTCAATCACCAGGAGATTGTGAGTTCTAGTCCCACCAGGAGATTGTGAGTTCTAGTCCCATGAAAGTGAGCTGGGTGATTTTGGGCCAGTCACCAGGAGACAGGGAGTTCTAATCCTTAAAACCAGCTGGGGGATTAAAGGCCAGTCCCTCTCTCTCAGCCCAAAACACCTCACAGGGTTGTTGTTGTTGTGGAACAATAGAAGGAGGAAGGAGTATTAGTTGTGTTTTCCAGTTTGTGTTGTTTATAAAAATAATAATAAAGGGCAGGATATATTTAAATAGATAAAATAAAATAAATACGCAATCCCCGTTGTCACTTTGGCTACCTCCCTAATTATGTGGAGCCTGGTTTTCCATTTCCTTTGATCCTGGTTCTTTGGTGTTCGACTCACATTGAAACAGCATTTAATCTCTTCCTGAGGCTTAATATATATTGAGGTTTGCCCACTCACCCCTTTGCCCCAATCCTCCTTTTCCTCTTTTCTCTCATTTCGGTATTAACACGGTCACCCTTCTATATTCTGTTCTTCCCTTCTAGAAGGCGAAAAAGGTTGGTGGCTCTTCCTCACCCCCCCACTCACCCTTTGCATGAATTTCTTCCTCAGGGGAAAACACACAAGCTGAGTTAAGTATGACCTCTTGTTCACCACGTCTGCCTTCCCAAATCGATGGCTGGAGAAAACACGTCCTTTAAAACTCCAGGTCCCATCGGGCCTGGGCACAGTTCCTTCTTGTGGCAGACCGCATTTTGAGCATGGACAAGGGGCAGGAGGTGGCCCAGGGGGTGTTGTCAACCCCCCCCCCACGCCTCCCTAAGAACCAAAATGTTTTTTGGGGGGTGGGTGGGTTATAGCTATGGTTGGGACCAACTGCGCGTTGGATCCAGCTTGCCAGGAGTGTGTGTGTCTGCCTCGCAGTTCCACCCTCCCTTCTCCTGGTGCATGGATATCTCAGTTTGTTCTTGGGGGTCTCACATTTCTCTCTCTTGGTTTCTCTTTCCACCGCTGCATGTGCCAAATGTGTCCTCCTCTTCCCTTCCTGTATATTGCGTGTTCTCCGGTTGTGATCCCTGCCACCTTCTTGGCATCAAATGTCTTGTGTCTCCTTTCCTTTCCACGTGTCGCTCACGGCGCGTCTATGTCTCTCGTGCCTCCTTTCCTCTCCCCTCGTGTCCCCGTCGTCGCGTCAAATCCAACATCCCTTGGTCTCTCGCATTGTGGTGGTTTTTTGGTTTTTTTTTTTGTTTGGTTATTATTATTGTTTTTGTCTGTGGCCCGGCTGTGCCTATCCCCACCCTTGCCAGGCTGCCAGGGAAGTTGGGCCGCTCGGAGAGCCTGCGGGTTTACGAGCGGAAGCGGTCTCAGCGAGGCTCAGCCAAAGGCAAACAGCCACGTTCGCGGAGCGATGTGGACATCGAAGCCGCGGCCCGGGCCAACGAGCTGGAAGAAAAACCAACTCTAGAACAGGCTCGGCAGAAGCAGGGAAGTCGCAAGTAGGTGAAGAGGCCGCCATCTCAGCTGCCCCAAGACGGGCAGAGACGGGAGCGTTGTGCAAGAATTACAGAGATGGAAGGGACCTTTGAGGTCTTCTGGTTGTCACAAATCATATTCTCCAATGAAACACATTCACGGGCTGGGTGTCATCAATCACACTTTCCAATGAAGGGTTTTGGGGTAGAAGATCCAGTAACCTATCTCTACAAGATAAGCATGGAATGTGCTTCTGGCTTTCATCTGCGACACTGCTCCCTCAGGCCTTTCCTCCTCCCCTCCTTCTTATGGCAACTCAGAAACAGGCATAGGAATGATTTACGAGTTGATACTGGTCCAACCCCCTTGCTCAAGCAGGAGATCCTATACCAAAAGGATCATCAATCTTGGAAGGTCCTCTCCGCTCCCTTCCCTGGAGTAGCGTAAACAATGGATGCATTCCCAGGAAGGATTATCTCCAAAGGATGGGAGCATCTTTGTCTGCAAAAGGAATTAAATAATTGTTCTGTTATCCTTGATGCTAAAAGAATTGGCAGAGAGGTGGATGGCAAACAAATTAAATAAATAGATAGATAGATAGATAGATAGATAGATAGATAGATAGATAGATA